CTGTCTTGAACCAAAAGTGGGAATGACATAGCCGTTCGCAGTGCTTAGTCGAAGCATCATAGATTGAGAGATGCTGCTAACAAGTGGTACTACAGAAACTTGGGCACCTGTATCAACGAGGTACCTAGCGTTAGTGTGGATATCGTGCACATAAAAAAGACGGTTAACCTTTAGTGCGGGACAGACGAGTACAGCCGCGTTCACTCACCGGATCTGGATTTTCCCGCCTTGTATGAGCAGGGGGCTCGACAATAACGTGCGCCAGGCCTAAACGTCTGGTGGAACCAACACCAGCCGGTACTCGCTTCCGAAGACGCCTTTGGGCGTGACCTGGAATATGCCCGCTGCGGAGAGAGTACTATCAGCCTTTCGTGCCCGAGATCTGGATCAGGGGACATGGGGTTCTGGAATAAAAGAACGGTCTGGAAACTTGAGATGGCTATGAATGCATTAACCATGACCTCCTTGAGCCTGAAGGTGACTCGCATCGAATTCTACATTTGTGTGACTAGGAGGCAACTATGTAGCTGTTTCGAGAGTTAGCTACAATTTTGTCTGTTATAAGGGCAGTTTGGTTAAGTGGCGTGTCCTCGAGCAGGGCCGTGATCGTAGGCTGCACTTGTGCTGGCAGTGACTCCGGACAAAGTTCCCTGGCTATGTCAGAGTCTTCCGTTGTAGGTTCTGCCAAGGATTACAGGAGCGTGAGGTGGTGGCTTGGTTTAGCATCACCTATGGGGTGATGTGCTAACCATGTCCTCAATCGTTTCTCACTAGATGGGAGGAAATGTCTGAAAATCGCCTTTTTGAGACGATCGTAGACATCTGGCATGGTAGGATTGAGGACAACCTCACGGACATGAGAGTTGTTACTCAATCCAAACCTCAGTTTGGACCCTACAGTTCTAAGCAATATCAGTAGATCGGAATTTTTCAGCTAACATTTCCTGGATTTCAGTTACCACAATGAGTAATTCTCGTCAGAAGAAGCCAAGCACAGGTCTCGTTGGACGTCAAGGAGACAAACTGGACAACGAATCCTCTGTTATAAAGCAAGTGACTTTTGACGTCTTTATAAGTCACGGTTCACACTCACTCAGAATCTTGGCTGTATTTTCGTCCAGATCTTCAGGCTTACAGATTTATACTATTTTCAGATCATCAGCATATAAGTATGCTCTTCCAAATTTTATAATGTTTCTGATGTACATAAACGATATATGTAATAAGAGTGGACCTAAGACACTTTCCTGGATAACCCCACTGGTTATTGGTCTTGGTGATGAAAGACATCCGTTGTAGTTAACCGTTTGTTGTCACCCATGTAGGAATGAAGCAAACTATGAATGTAATGGGTTAATGATGCCGAATAACTTTAGTTTAAGTTGGAGCCTTTTGTGTGGGACTTTGTCAAAAGCCTTTTTAAAATCGAAAAACAGGATTGATACTAGAAGCCGTTTGTCTTGTTTATGCGTGATATCGTTGAAATAATCTAACAAACATGTATCACACGACCTGGACCTAAGGAACCTACTGTGAGGTCGATATCAGATTGTGACTAATTGGATGTTGTATTATCTCTGCCTGAACTACTTTATCCATAACAATAGATACTACCGAAGTTATGTTTATGGGTCGGTAATTTTCAACGTTCACTGTAGGCACAGAATTAATTGTGAGGATGATATGTGTAGTCTTCCAGCTATTAGGGTAACACTCTGTGGAGAGTGAAATAGTAAATAGTTTGGGAAGAATAACACATAGATCATTGCTACCATTTTTCAGCATGCTGGCTGGGATACTATCTGTAAGAGTGCTTCAGTGTACTAATCGCCTTAGAAATGTTCTGTACACTAAATTCAACACTGGCGATTTCATAGGAAGGAGTTTGGGTCAGGTGTGACTCATTTGTTGAGTTTTCGTTTGGTAATGTGGCACAAAATGTTCGCTCAACAACTCTGCGATACTTTTAGAATCTTTATACACTTGATTGTCCTTAATAAATATGCTCCCTCCTTTCACTTTGGAGCATTTGAGTTTATTCCGAAGGAGTTTTATGAGTTCACAGGATTGATTGTTCAGTTGAACAGCATGCTTTTCGTTTGCGATTGCCTTTTTGGTACGTGTTATTTCTGCCTCGACACATATTTCAGTCATCGTTACTAATGAGGAGAAGTCATTAAAGTTATGAAATCTGGAAGCATGTCTTCGAAGACGTTTTCGTATATGACCTGACATATATAAGTCCTTCGGAATTCTGGGTCTCCAGGATCTTAAGGGTGCAAATTTGTTGAAAATGCCATTAGTGTTGTGATAAAATACATTTATTAGTTCATCAGTATTGTTTGCATTAAAGTAGTTTGTCCAGTCAATGCTTCCGAGGCAGTTACGGAAGTTTGACCAATCAGTCCTACGAAAGTCCCTACGAAGTGTGGTGGATTTACATTTTTCAGTTGTAGCTCCTATATCAAGGCTGCATATGACCATATTATGGTCGCTGCTTGGGAACGTTTTTCCAACCTAAACAGTATGAGGAATGAGATTGCTGGTGAAAACCAAATCCAATGTATTTTGATTTCTTGTTGGGCCATTAACATGTTGAGTCCACTCTCCAAGCTCTAAGCATTCAATAAATGATTGGAGTCGTTTAGGTGCTTTGATTGGGAACCAAGTGATTTCAGGCATGTTGAAGTCCCCACAAATAGCCTTGCTTGTGAACGGTAGGGATGAAACAAATGTGAATACTTCTGATAATAATGCTAGATCTCCCGTTGGTGCATGAGGCTGACGGTAGACAGCCGAACAGTAAGGAAACTGCATTCTAGGGTTTCAGGACGATCCACACAGAGTCTGGCAATCTATTTAGTTCAGATATATCACATAAGAGCGAGTTTAGGCTAGAGTGGGCATATATGAGGCATCCTCCACCTCTTCCTTGTAACCTGTCACTTCGAAATAGATCATAGTATTCAAGAGATATAGTAGGATCAGAAATCTTTCTACATGTCCGTGCCTCATTTATCATCATAAGTGATGGTTGGCACATAGTAGCAAACATGACTAGATCTGTCTTTTTATGACAGACTGAACGAGCATTAATAAGACGTATATTAAACATATATTAAACTTATACGCTTTCGCGACTAACCACCCAATCGACAATGGATACGGTAAAGGACATTATTCTAATACTACATGCTACAACTTTCTCTTTTTCCTTCACCTTTTATCCTGATCCCATGTCTACGACCGTCTTCCGGTTGGTACCGTCGACTTCAGTCAATCTTGGCGGAAGCTGGCCTGATCATTCACGCTCTTGCCAATGAACCCAGTTGATGTTCCGGTTTTGAATGTTTCTGGTATACGTATAGCTTCGAACTTAGTCGTAATGGTCGTTTCTGCTTCCTTCTCTCAATCTGGTTTCATTCTACGTCTGCAGGTTTTTCCTGTACAACCCGAGCAACAAAATTGCACGTTTCTACTGCTGCAGTGCAACGTAGGAGTTTTTGGATGACAACTGGAGCTTCATTGGTCGCTTCCTGTTCCTTATGAGGCATTAATAGTTATTTACTGTGAGACAAAAGTGAGCTAAACATGTGATGAGCGAAATAAGCAACACATATACTCAAGCATAAGTTTTAGACGAATAGTTATCAGGCTCAAATGACATGTGAATCATAACTGGAGATCAGATTACTCAGTTTGTGCGAACGCTAGGACGAATCTGTTTATGCAACACAGCCTTTCAACAATATACTTATATCTCATCTTCATACTTCCGTTTGCAAAGCATACGGTTGAATGACTGTTTCTTTCACATATCTTTTAGTCTTCAAAACACTTTAATTGGACCATGCATTCTGATCCGTCATTGTTTTCGGTAGTAGCTTGTGGGTTAAACTTATGCATGCTGTTTAGAAACTTCGTTGGGGTTGGAATCTACTATGTGGGAATCGATCCTTATTGCAACTTTCTTAATATTACAAACCAATCTGGCAAAGAAGTTCCATCTTTTAGAATTTTTGATTACGCATTTAGTTTATAAAAGAGTTTCATTATCAGAAACCTGCCTACGCCCATAGAAATCGGTCTTTTCTAAAGGATTGGACGATCATCCTAATCGAATTCCTTGAAGAGGTTTGGGTGGTTAATGCTAACCGTATGTCTTTGATGCTGTAAGTTATTTCAACTATTCAGGAAAATCAACAGGTTTGTGTTTAGCGGACTGCCAGGTAGCAAACCATGTTGCGTCTCAGAGAAAGTCTGGGCCGTCGGCCAATTGTCAATCAAGCAATGCAGAATTATTTCAATTTTAAGAAACAGAAGCTCCACGAGACTTCGGTCTGTTTCTGGGAAAAAGAATTAATAGTTATTGGAAACTGACATAGTAGACTAGAAAGAGTGGACTGAAACCACTCGGATAGCAGATTTGAGTGGTGTACTTTTAGGAAATCCATTACCAGGTACTCAACACTTAATTACTGATCACTTACATTGCTCTACGAGACTGATGAAACAGTTCAACCTGTGCGATTTTCTGAGTATACGTTTTGCGTAACACTTTGTGGCATAAATAATGATCTACCACTGGAATGAAACTGATTGTTTTTGTTTATGATCTTGTATCTAACGCATCTTCAGATGGTAGACCTTATGGATCAGGATAAATGATGTGTTACGTGTATAATAATCCGCAGGGTTTTCAACAGACAAATTGCAGGAGAATATCCGTCAGACTTTGCTACTGGTCTATGTTGAAAACGTACTATTACAGCGAAACTGCTCCTTCGAATTCTATCCGTATGTTGTCCAGACCGGTTTCATAAAAGTTTTTATATAGGGTGCTCTCTAAGGTAAATGAATCACTAGGGAATATAATGGTGTCGGGATGCGTCCACTTTATCCTGAAGGGTCCAAAACTAGTGAATATGCAACTATTAGTTCGTGGTTAATGCGAAATCAGTGCAGCTTATTGAAATATCTGTTTGGCGTCAGTGGACAAACTGAGTCACATTTCCTCAGATGCTCAACATTGCTTCCAAGTCCTCAATGTCAGCCGATTCAGTTCATTTAAAATATAATGCTAATAATTAAATTCGTTTGTGCACTGTACATAATGAATTAGATTGAGATTTTTGAAGGACGGCCACGCCTTGTTTAAACTATCAGGTTGTCGAATACAAACGTGGTGCTCCCCTCGCGGCTAAGGCTTGTAGCAGCTCACGTTTTTAATAATGTCAAAGAGCGATTTAGCGTGTGTGTACGCTGCCCTGATGTTAGCTGACGATGACATCGACATTACAGGTAAGTAAATGTCGGTTCATGTGCACATATTTCTAATATACGAGGGTGTTTTTTGTGAGCACCTAATAAATATGGTTAATACTTGGATGCTTTGTTAAAATGTTTCAGTAAATCACCCTTATGTTTGTCGTTGTATTACTAATCGGCATTATGTGGTAATTCTTTTTTTTCAGCTGACAAGATAAATACCATACTGAAGGCTGCTAACATAAAATTTGTAGAAACTTATCTTCCTAACTTATTTTCTACAATGTTGAGTGGAAAAAACGTCAAAGATATGCTAATGACCATGGGGTCGGCCGCGACCTCTACAGTTGCTGCCCCCTCGGCAGCTCCAACGTCAGCAGCTGACAGTACTGCTGAGAAGTCAAAAGAACCTGCAAAGGAAGAAAAGAAACCAGTTTCGGATGACGATTCCGACGAATCAATGGGTTTTGACCTATTTGGTTAATTGTAACCTATGTACAAAATAAATTGGATACATAATATCATGTTGGTTTTTTAAATTTATAGTACAAGGAAGGTTAGTTAGTTTCCCATATTGTGTATAGCCAAGGAATCGTCTCTTGACTGATGAGATGAAAGTTGGTAGTCATTCATTGGACTTGACTACTTTGACGACCTGTCATGTCGCGCCTGAAGTTCCAAAGTAGCCTCCATGGACCTACATCCATTATGGATATTCCAGGAGTGATCGTTTTCGGTGAAGCAATAGTAATGGAGGTTGTCGTAATGAAGTTTCACTTGAGTTTTCATAGTTGAATTCGGATGCAAAACACTCCATCTTATAATGTATGCTTAAGTTTACGCAGTAAACCCCTGTCTGTATGATGTTCATAATTCGATTATATCAACTTGGTTACTATTTTCAGCGTAAAGTTAGTTGTAGAGTTAAATTGAACTGGGACTTTTAGTACCGTGTGTGGTAGCGGTGAAGTATGCATTTGTTTTGATAGTGTTTGGACAGCATGCTGATCTTAGTGACAGATTTTCCTCCTTCGTGACTCAGTTTTCGGTGACTGAGATAGTATGATCCCTTGGTTCAGTCTTCATAAGTCATGACTGAAATAAACCAGTTGCGTTCCTGAATTACTTCGTTGCTGGTTGTTTTCTCTTCGAAAACATTTTAAACAGATTCCTATCTTTTTTTGGTCATATACCTTTTGGCTTCTCCTGACATTAGTGTCTGCGTTCTAATTAAAAAAGATAAGCATACTTTTCTAGGAGATGAACATGTTTCTGTTAGTAGTTGATGCTGCTTACTCATAAAGGCTTTCCACGTTGACAGAATAAGAAGAGTAATATTTGGGATTGATGAGGTGACAAGACCTTCAACCCATCCTACATGTTCAACTGCTATGTTCTCCGACATAGAATGGTAGACAGAGTAACTTGGATGTATCCGTACCTTTACAAAGCTAAAGACTAGTGCTTTTTTCGATGTAGAAGTTTTAGGAGTTGTAAAATTCAGTAACATAAATATACTTGTCTGTATTTTACGCCAAATAATTGGTATCATTTCACACCTACAAAACGTTCGTCCCAACTAGATTCTGTTTCTCCGTTATCAATGTTGTCCTCACATCTTATTATCATTGTGAAGTACAGTGGCTAAATAACATATTGCCATACGTTGGTTTAGACTTATTATGATTAGGTATAAAGACGAACGAGATTTCTAAAGTGGCTACGCTTGTTAGTTTGGATTAGTGATAATCAAAGAATATATTTTAGTACATATGTCTCGCCCCTTATCTGACTGATGACTTGTAAAAGTTACGATGAGATAAATGCTCTAAAACTAATACTGTTTGTACTTGATTCAACTTGTGTCGTCTATTCAGCATTTGCTAACTATTAATATCTCTCATATGATTTAAACCTGCATTGTTTGTAGTCATGATCACTTGATACTGCTTTGAAGCAGCCCATATGATGTGGCCGAAATACAGTGGCCCAAACACCCTCTTATATTGAGGAGTGTCGTATTCTAGCGTGCAGACCAGTTAACTGAGTTAATAAGTTTCGGTAGCTGATAACAGATCGGCATTAGTACAAAAGCCTTGCCTGGCATTTCTAAACTTTGAACAGCTTTAGCACGTAGATATACTTTGGGTGCACAGACGGTAAATACGTTTTGCTCTGCAACTTCGGAACGGTCTATACAAATAGAGGTTAGGCTAGATAACAGGAGTAAGGTATGGAGTCGAGTCAGTCATATAAGGTCAATACAGAGACTAGTGCAGACGTACGTTAGCTCAAGTTACCACACAACATTAGCTCGACAAAATGAATAGCGAAGGGAACGAAATAATATTTTAGCATTTATGGTGAAGATTAAACAATGAGGATACGGTCCGAAGGGATGAATAAAATTTATGTATAAAGAGGTAAATTATGGTTATAGGTCGAAAGAAGGATGAAGACTGGTGTCTGCCTTTGTGATCGATCCTGAGACATACTGAAAATATGATAGTTTACAAAACCACTAATTACTGAACTGTACCATTTCGACGGAGGCACATTTTTTCGTTTAAAGTTGTTGGGGGCGGGGGTTGGTGGTAATAGTGATTTACAACTGAATACATTGGGTGTCGGTGTAACAACTACATCCGATCACTGTTTATCTATAAGTAGTCAGTTAGAGTACTTCACATTCTCAGATTTCATTTGTTCTTGTTGAGCTGTATCGCCGGAAACTATCGTAAACCAGAACGACCAGTGAAAAGCAAGGAAGGCAAAGTAATCAGCAACACTGAACAACAGCGAAATAGGTGGGTAGAGCACTTTCAGGAACTATTGAATCGACCAGCTCCACTGAACCCACCGAACATCGAAGCAGCATCCACGGACCTCACAACTAATATTGGCGCACCTACGATTGATGAGATCAGTATGGCCATCAGACAAATCAAGAGCGGCAAAGCAGCAGGACCAGACAACATTCCAGCAGAGGCAATGAAAGCAGATGTAGAAGCAACTGCGAAAACATTTCACATCCTCTTCAAGAAGATTTGGGATGAGGAACAAGTACCATCAGATTGGAAAGAAGGATACCTGATCAAAATACCAAAGAAAGGCGAACTCAGCAAGTGTGAGAAATACAGAGGCATCACTCTTCTTTCAATACCAGGCAAAGTTTTCAACAGAGTATTGTTAAACAGAATGAAGGTCTTCATAGACACCCGCGCAACTTTGAGATCAACAGGCCGGATTTCGTAAGGATCGATCGTGTACTGACCAAATTGCTACATTACGGATCATTGTGGAACAATCAATTGAATGGAACTCACCACTCTACATCAACTTCATCGACTACGAGAAAGCATTCGATAGCGTGGACAGGAAAACACTGTGGAGGCTTCTTCGACACTACGGTGTGCCTGAGAGAATAGTCAACATTATACGGAATTCTTATGATGGATTCAACTGCAAAATCGTGCACGGAGGTCAGCTGACAGACTCTTTCGAGGTGAAGACCGGTGTCAGGCAAGGTTGCTTACTCTCACCCTTTCTCTTTCTCCTGGTGATCGACTGGATTATGAAGACATCGACATCTGGAGGGAAGCACGGTATCAGCTGGACAGTTAGGACGCAGCTGGACGATCTGGACTTCGCAGATGACCTGGCTCTTCTATCTCACACGCAACAACAAATGCAAGAGAAGACGACCAGTGTAGCAGCAGCCTCGGCAGCAGTAGGTCTCAACATACATAAAGGAAAAAGCAAAATTCTCCGATGCAACACAACATGCACCAACCAAATCACTCTTGATGGAGATGCCTTGGACGACGTTAACACATTTACATATCTTGGCAGCATCATCGACGAGAAAGGTGGATCCGATGCAGATGTGAGGGTGCGGATTGGCAAAGCAAGGGCTGCATTTTAACAGTTGAAAAATATCTGGAACTCCAAACAACTTTCAACCAAAACCAAAATCAGGATTTTCAATACAAATGTCAACACAGTTCTACTGTGTGGAGCGGAAACTTGGAGAACTACGAAAGCCATCATCCAGAAGATACAAGTGTTTATTAACAGCTGTCTACGCAAAATACTTCGTATTCGTTGGGCAGACACCATCAGCAACGACGAACTGTGGGAGAGAACAAACCAGATTCCAGTGGATGAGGAAATCAGGAAGAAGCGGTGGAAGTGGATAGGACACACTACGAAAAGCACCTAACTGCGTCACAAGACAAGCCCTCACATGGAACCCCGAAGGCAAAAGGAAAAGAGGAAGGCCAAGGAACACATTACGCCGAGAAATAGAGAAAGATATGAGAGGAATGAACAAAAATTGGACAGAACTGGAGAGGGAAGCCCACGACAGAGTTGATTGGAGAAAACTGGTGGGCGGCCTATGCTCCATTGGGGGTAACAGGCGTTGAGCTGTATTTCTCATATTTAGTATTCTGTAGAAGTTGAATAAATTTATCCTAATCCGCTTATCAAATAATGAATTTTCTCTTCATCTACTGTTATGAAATGCATCGAAAATTGGACTAATACACATTTTTTTTTTGAAGCCCTACGTTAACTATGACCAATTCATAATAAATTAACTGTCGTTTTCAAAGTTCAATAAAGAAATATCTGCAGCATCAATACTGTTCACTAAATTTTATGGATGTACAAAATCACAGAAAGCGTATATATTTACATACTTTTACATATTTGCAGATCGGTAAGTAATCGTAAATCACAATTTAATAGGAAAGAAAAACACGATTTGAGAACGAAAACAAAAATTAGAAAAAAAAGAAGAAATTGTTGTTCGGATGCATCAACCTATTACATACATATTGACAAATTGAACGAAGTAAGATAAAAAGATAACAGACTAAAGATAAGAGAGATTGAACAAGATAATTTCAAAAGAAATTAATAACTGTATTTTGTGTGGCTGACAGAAGTCAATGAACCAGCACAAGTGACTCAAATAAAATCAACATATAATCGTAAAGATAAGAAATGCATTAAGGCTGTTAAATTTGTCAAGCACCAGCTGACCTATATATATATGTATATGATACATTTGAAAGGAATTTGTAGAATCAATAATTTAAGTTAATCCGTTTGAAATGAAAGTATTTATGTAAAAAAAAAATAAATAAATTAGGACCTAACATCTCTCTATCTAATCAGAAGATACACAAACATAAATAAAATGAATTACTCCTGTGAAAAAAAAATTGAGAGAAACAATTATATCATCGACAAGTTCGAGAAGTCCAACTACGCGCTTTTCGCATTTCCAACGAAACACTATTGTCATTATCTGTGAAATTTTGTGCACCTAATGAAATGAATGATTTATCAATGAGAAAATTTCGTGTATTCATTATTTCATCTTCCGATTCATTGTGTGTATCGAGTAAATTTTGATTATCCACTGATTCAATATTAGTGTGTATTGATGAAATACGATGATGACGAGTAAATCGAGTACGTAAATTATCACGTAATGATAATGCTTTATCGGTTAAACTATGCTGTCCTGATGAATGTTGACTATCACGTCTCTGTCCGGATTTAATCTAAAAATTAAGTAAATACATAATGCATATGAAAACAGATAGAAGTAATTTATGCATTAACAACAGTGTTCATTTCAATGGTGTATTCACATAATGACAATTTCTAACAAAAATCTCATTAGCAAAAAAAATATATTGATAATTCATTCTACTGTAGGAAAGAAATGTTGAAGAATATTAGATATATGATAAGATTAAAAATGACATCCTCTAAGTGAAGTTTAATTCAAATCGGAATGTAGTAAAAATGTCTGTTATATTTATTAATCTAGCTAATAATAAAAAATTTGTAAGCAAAGAGTTCGTTTACCACTGAGCACTAGAAAAAAGCCAATTCAGTTTCCAATGTTGGGGCGGATCAGATCAGTGACCATAAACTGTTCCGTAAACAATGCACAGAGGTCGATTCTACACTTTTGTGGTAGAAGAGTGAAGGAATATCGTCAGTTGATGAATTATTGGCTATACTGGTTTAGCTACTTGGTAGTCATTCAATGCACCTAACACCGATGGGCTACGGCATGGGGTAAACGCATCTATGCCTTTGAGCTTATAAGAATGTATTGACTCTAGCAAAAGCACTATATACACGCATGTAACACATACGTGCGGAAACTCCTATGCCTGTATTCACTAACAGAATGGGAAGACAGTTCGATCATTTTGTATATAATCAACACCAACGACCGCATTCATCTATGCCTACGTACATGTAACTGACATATATATATCTCTGATACATGTACTCATAAAGCACACTTGTAACAAGTTACTCATTAGTGCTCATCAGTGGTTGTGTTTGCTTAAAACAAGCTTCCTAACACGGTAGAAAGCATAATTTTAATGGAGCAGACTGGCATCAACTCTTTGTACTACACCTGCGTTAGACTGTAGTGAATCCATCTGCATATATGTATATAATGGACTGTAAGAAGTACGTCTGTTTTGAATAGTACAGTCGCTTTGATGTTTCTATCATAAAATGCACTCTCTTCTTTTCTTTTCGCAATATGGCATTCAAATTACATAGAGACTTTTCCCTTTCACAGTGAAAAGTCAATCAGCTTGCCTCCTCGTCAGGCGGGGTCGACTAACATGAGTCAAAGATTGAGTAATACGATGTTGATTATGATAGGAACTAATAAAATGTGTTTTTAACTGATTTTTCCACTATTTCCGTTAATAAATAAGAATATTTTGAAGATAATTCCTGCATGATATGTTAAAACACTGATTTTCAGACACTAAAGGAAAAAAAATTCTACTTGTAAGTCTCACTGTTTAAACTCGAAGTAAATCTAACCTTTCGCTTGGCGATCTGGTCCATGATTTTTCAAGGTAATATTCAAAGTTTTCACAATCATTTTCGCTCATATGGTCATTGTCTCCTGAATTTCAAAATTGTTTTATGCACTTTATTCAGGAAATTCATTCATCTCGAACAATCTTTTGTCTGGTCTTTATAATATTCACTGATACTACTACTAGTACTGCTACTTCAACTACTTTGGTATTCATCTTGAGAGGAGGAACTTAAATGAATCTATATACGAACCAGGGTTTGTACTTTTTGAGACTAACAGAATAACTAGTAAACAATTGCAAGCAGGCTGTAGTTTGAGTGTTCTAGTGTTTTGATGTCCAAAATGAGATTACGTGTATGAGACGGTGATGTGTGGCTAATGGGAGTATATTTATTTGACCACTGAGTGTGGACAAACAGGTACTCAACTTATTGATTATCAAGTGTGTGATTTCGGTACTGAATTGTGTATCTAGTATAACGTTATCCAGTCATTGCTATCATCGATTATTAGTTATCATGAGTGTTGTGTAGGGGGGTTGTCACATCGCTATTGCTTTCACTGCGAAAACGTACTTCTACCTGGATAAGAAAATAGGTTAGGGTTGGTAGTTTTTAAAAGCCGGATGTGTGACTACAGAGCCCAAGCGACAACTGCTTGCGGTCAATTATATATGGCCTGTTTTATGAGCAGTTTTTTATACATTAGTTCTGTACTTTCAGATGTTACTGCAGGTAAGTGAAATCTAAAGAGTAAGGTCAAGTTCATTGCTCAATATGTCAACCTACTAGTGACTGTTAGTTAGCAATAATAAACATAATAGTAATGAATGATCATTATTACCTTTGTATCGTGTGATTGTGAAGAAAGAAATTTCACATATTCTGGACAGATTAGGGATGCTGGTGTTGGTTTTTGCCAACGTTTCAAAAGCAGTGAAAGACATATGACAGAAAGTGATGAAGCTGCCATTGCAGCTGATGCGAACCACGGTGTTAACTCTATGCCGAAAGGCATTAGACAACCTAAATGTAAGCAAAAATAAACACCGAGTGAAAAAGGCAGATTTAATACTGTAATTTTCATATGGAGAATTACAATACTAATCTTAATGTAAAAGTTTGTGACGATTTGAACTAACAGGTGTACACAACGTTTGGTAGCCATTTACGCAGAAGACGTTAAAAGAAACTAGGTCATCTTTGCAAATATCTCAGCAACTGAAACTAAATAATAACTTCAACATTTCATTGAACTGTTTTATTTAGTATGAGTGACTTCTTTTCAGGAAATTACAAAAAGTTATTTGTTTAGTCATGTTCAGCTACGGAATTCGTAGTGTAGCGTACAAAACTGAGCCGCTTGGTGAGCTCAAATAATCTGAATACACAATATGATGAGGAATATATATATATATATATATATATATATATATATATATATATATATATATATATATATATATATATATATATATATATATAGTGCTTCTATAACAACATTTTGTAAATATTCCTCATCATATTGTCTATTCAGATTACTTGAGTTCACCAATATAAAAGTAGGTTATCAGTTATCAGACTGATTCTGTATTGAATATGATGGAATCTATAAAGATCTCAATATTGGCTCGGTTATTTACACTAATGTATTTATGTGTTTGTGTGAGGGTCAGAGATTCTAGCTAGTTGTTTAAATCAATCAAGGCGCAGAACGTTTCAAAGCGTTTACGTAAACTTATTGAATACTCAATGCTTTAATCATTAAGACAATGATCCACTGATATATGTGTGAAGAGACTGTTAACAACCTATAAATGACTGCTTACTGGTACCGCTCCAAAGTTGCGTTATTCGTTAGATCATTTATGTGATAAAACGGCATTATTATTCACTTATTTAATAGGTGCAGATTCGTGTAGTTTGAGCTAAACTTTGAGTGTGAGAACGAGTGGTACTACCGATCCGGTCTCTTGAGCCAAAATAAATGGAGAGAAGTTTGAACCTGAGAAGTACTAGTTACAAGTTTAAACCCTTCACCACTGAGTCACTGCTTCATGATGATAATTGTTATATTTTCTATACGATGATTACTAGTAAGGTATTATAAATTATAATTTGTATATTGGAATGGATTATAATATTTTTTCGATCCTACAAATCTGTATATTTCAAGTAAGACGACTAAGAATGCGGTTTCCAGTTTAGTTTACGGTAATTACTACTTACGAATAATCGAGGTTATTCTGATAAGGAAGGATTCCATATTGGACTCGATAGAATGGCGATTGACACACAAAATGTCAACATTATTAATCCATACGCCAATATAAGATCGAGAAGATGTGACCTTCAGGATATCCTCATAGTCCAAACATAAGTGACAAATCGAAATGCACATAACTTTGTTCATAAACTAACACCCAATGAACTTCGAGTACAATGAAATAAGTAAAATAAAAATGTCAACGAATCAGGTAGTAGCGAATGTCATTACGGGAATATGAATTGTGTAAATGCTCACATATATTTTGTACTTTTATCATTGTTGAGCTTGTATGCGCATGTATGCTTGGGCATTGACTACCGCCCACGCACACAGTCAAGTGACAAGCTTTATAGATCAACTTTTTAAATAAATTGATGGCAGTATCGACCATAAATATTTGTATTGAGTCCGATATTAGTATCAATCATTATATAATTTGAACAATATATTGTGGCAACCACTCGTGTTTTCTGTGGTAACGGTGGTCGGGACAGCGACGTACGAAGTTCAGGAAGAGATCGAGTGTCCACCGCCCGACGAAAGAACGCAATGCAGTTCCCTACGACTCGAAAAGAATACGTCTCCGTCTCCATTCGATTTATTACTGTGGATTTTAATTACAACTGCAGATTATTATCATCATCGTATTTTCATTACACGTTTATTATTTCACAAACATCGTTGAAAATATTTTAACAATATTCACAATTACAAATAACATAATGCGTTCAATTGTTAAACGGCTGCGGTTTGGTAAGTCTGTTCTGTGTTATGACATTTTAATTGTTTCTTATTAGCATTATTATGCCTAAACATAAGTTTATTTATTTGTACACTTCTCATTGCATACACACATGTCTTCAGATAACGATACACTGAGTCGCCTACATATAGCGTCCGCGAGGTTCCCTAGTTTATCTATTCCGCCTTTTATGGTCACCGACCCACAACTTTGGTTTCCTCGGATTGAAAATTACTTTTTGGTTAATCGAGCTTGTTATTTTAGGAGATAAATTAGCCCACGACTGCGCACTGCATCCAGATGAAGTAGAAGACAATGTAAGTGATGTTTTAGCTAAACCGGATACAGAAAAGCCATATGATGTATTAAAACAGGCTGTGATAAAAGCTATCTCGTTAACTGAACGACAGGCACTTGACTGATTTTTCAAGCAAGTGGAACTAGGCGATAGTCAGTCAGTCGGTTACAACGGAGAATTTCATACGCACGTACATAAGTTAGGCTGCCGTACTACAGCACAGAGATGAATCGGTTACTATCGTCTCGCAGAATCAAACATCTACCAACATGACTCAGTCCACTCGTCAGTGAATTCATGCATTTCTGCCATGTTTTCTTCAAACCTACTCCCACACCACAAAACATAGATCGTCGAAACAGTCGGTGGTTAGGCATACGTAACACGTGTCCCAACCACCTCAACTGATGAAGTTTCACTACTTCATCGATTGATCTGCCATCCTTACCTAGTACTCGTTTCCTAATAACAGCGTTGCTCACTCGGGTGTCCCACGATATACGAGCAATGCTTCGAAGACACCTATGATCGAAGACAAGCAATCTACGAATGCGCTCTACTCTCACCGGCCATGTTTCGCATCCGTATAGTAGGACGGAGCGAACTACTGCGCAGTACACTCGTTCTTTGGTCAGCAAATGGATATCTCGCCTACTCCATAAATGACGTAAATTGGCAAAAGCCAATCGAGCTTTCTGTATCCGAGCTGAGATTTCGTCAGTCACCAGGCCACCGGCACTGATGAGACTCCCGAGATAAGTAAAGCGGTCGACACGCTCAACTACTTCACTCCCTATCACTAGTTCTGGTGCCGATGCAACCCAGCCTTGAAGCAACATTTTGCATTTCGAGGAGGAGAACCACATCCTGAACATGCTTGCATTGTTGCCCATTGTTGCCCGACCGTAGCTGCTACCTTGACGTGGTGGTCGGGCTTGCCTATCGTGATGACCCAACCGAGCTATACTGGCTGGAACATATGTTCCTCAAGGTTCTACCATGCCAGACAGGTCGATTGGAGAACGATGAGACTAAAAACAGCTACCCAAGGTCTGAGGGCGAAGTCGTACTGCTGACTGCAGAGGGGTGTGACAGCAGTAAGGTGTTTCCCTCGGACAACCAGCATCTGCAGCGATACTGCCTTCTCACAAGGAAGGAAGGGTTAGAAAAGGTCGACCCTAAAAATGTCACACCTCCCCTAACTCACGGATTTCCGTCTCCTTGGGTAAGGGTGCCCACTAAGGGCCTTTAAGAACGGAGCTAATCCTCAAAAAACATTTCATAAAAAGGCCGTGCGTGACCGGCCTCAAGCAGTTGTCCCTTGGGCTCTGCGGTCACGCACCAACACTAATCTATCTTCCTTTTCAGGTCCCTCAAGAAACAACCTTCCACGGTGTGGGCAGCCGGGAAGTGACAACCGCCCTCATACCCGTAACAGCACGCGAGACCAAATTGGTCAAAATCAAATCCTTCCTACACCCCCTAGTACCTCTCTTATCTCCACGACTAACTCTTCTCACATTCATTCATCACAATGCACAGCTAATGCAGACGATACGAGTTCGCGAAACGTCGTTCCTGGTCTCCTTAAACCTCGCTCTAGACTACATGTTGGAGCATTTAATGTACGGACATTGTGTCAAATAGGGCAACAGGCTTCCTTAGCTAGGACTTTAGAAACTCGTGCCATCGATGTATGCTGCGTCTCGGAAACGCGCATACAGGATTCTAGTAAAATTATTAATCTGATTTCACCTTGTCAAAAAGAAGCAGCTCGATTTACTCTTCGTGTATCCGGTAGCCCTGATGCTGCTTCCAGGGGTCTTGCTGGCGTAAACATAGCATTGAGTCGTAGGGCAGAACAATCTCTCCTTGACTGGATCTCAATAGATAGTCGATTGTGCGCTGTCCGACTAAACGGGACAGTAAGGACTCGGAAAGATAGGGACAATCGCCGTTGCCTCTTCATCGTATCTGCCTATGCCCCCACTGAATGCAGTTCAGACGAGGTTAAGGATGAGTTTTACAGAAAGCTCTCGGACCTCCTCCAAAAAGCTAGGCGCTCTGATATAGTTATAATGGCTGGTGACTTTAATGCTCAAGTAGGTAGACTAAGTGAGCAGGAGAAACACCTAGGTGGATGTTATGGTGTCGCGGCTCAGAGAACAGACAATGGTGACCGTCTGTTGCAAGCATGCCCAGACAACCGCCTATTCTTAGCAAACACTAACTTTAGGCATAAGGAAAAGCATCTGTTGACCTGGCGACCTCCAAAGTCGTCTCAACGTTGGACTCAACTAGATCACATCGCCATCAGCCACCGATGGAGGGGTTCGATAGAGGACTGTCGCTCGTTCTGGAGCACATGTCTAGATTCAGATCATGCCCTAGTGCGAGCGCGTATTTGTTTGAAGCTTACTGGGCGTAGGAAAGACACCGTAAGAAAGCCTCTTAGGGTTTTACTTAATGATAATAAGGCGAAAAATATATTTCAGGAACAACTAGAAAGACAGTTAGGCGACCATTTAAGCGATTCCTATCCGGAAGCAGGATGGAATGATATCAAAAAGGCTGTGGAAACAGCAGTGATATCTGCTAGTAAGGTAAGCCATAAGGCTAGAATGAAACCGTGGATCTCAGTAGCATCCACCGAACTGATGGATGCCCGAAAACTCATCCCACCTGGCTCTGAACATGATGAAGAACGAAGCCAACCTAGGCGCAGACTTATGAAAAGCCTACGTAACGACCGCGAACAGTGGTTGGTGGCGAAAGCAAAAGCGATGGGAAAGGCAGCGGCGATCGGCAACAGTAGACAACTTTTCCGACTTATCAAGGAAACTGGTATTAGGAACCCAAGTGTGAGTGAGACTATTTCCGAAATAGATGGTCTTATTATCCATTATCAATCCAGGAGACTGGATCGATGGGCAGAACACTTTAAGGATCAGGTTAACTGGCCTCGAGCCACTCTTCGGTTACCCACGATCTCCAGTCATCCTGAATGGCAAATCGACGTAAGTCCCCCTAGTCTTAATGAAGTTGAAAAAGCGTTAGGAAATCTGAAGCGAGGGCGATCAGCGAGTCCTGATAGACTGACCCCTGAGATATTTAAGGATGGTGGTCCAGTTTTAGCAGCTAGATTGACTGAGATCTTAGGTAGAATCTGGGAACTGGACGCAATCCCATCCGACTGGTCTCAATCACTGATTGTCCCAATCTATAAGAAAGGACAGAAGTCTTCTTGTGACAATCACAGAGGAATAAGTCTAACTAATATAGTATCTAAAATATTGGCCTCAGTAATACTTCGACGCTTAACGAAAGCTCGTGAAGAGCAGACTCGAGAAAACCAGGCTGGTTTTCGACCTGGACGTGGCTGTATTGACCACGTCTTCACACTACGACAGGTCCTGGAACACAGACACACATTTAGACGTCTGACAATAGTTGTTTTCCTGGACCTAAAAGCGGCATTTGACTCAGTGGATCGTGAGGTTCTGTGGCAGTGTCTGTCATTGAAAGGTGTACCAAAGAAGTACATCAACCTCATACAAGCTCTCTACTCAAACACCACTGGTCGAGTGAGAGCTTATGGCGAACTGTCACCGGAATTCTCTACTTCAAGTGGTGTCCGTCAGGGATGTCCACTCTCTCCATTCTTGTTTAATTTTATCATAGACATGCTCCTAGAAATAACCTTATCCTCGTCTGAATTTTCAGGAGTAGACCTTTTACCAGGTGGCTCGCTTATTGACTTAGAATATGCCGATGACATAGTCCTACTTGGTGAAGACGCTGACAAAATGCAGAGTCTTCTGACCACCTTAAGCAACAATGCAAGCATGTTCAAGATGTGATTCTCCCTGTCGAAATGCAAAATGTTGCTTCAAGATTGGGTTGCATCGGCATTTGGACTAGTGATAGGGAGTGAAGTAGTTGAGGGTGTTGACCGCTTCACTTATCTGGGGAGTCTCATCAGTGCTGATGGCCTGGTGACTGACGAAATCTCAGCTCGGATACAGAAAGCTCGATTGGTTTTTGCCAACCTGCGTCACTTATGGCGTAGGCGAGATATCCGTTTGCTGACTAAAGGACGAGTGTACTGCGCAGTGGTTCGCTCCGTCTTACTTTATGGCTGTGAAACATGGCCAATGAGAGTAGAAGATACTAGTCGGTTATTGGTTTTCGATCATAGGTGTCTTCGAAGCATTGCTTGTATATCCTGGGACACCCGAGTGAGCAACGCTGTTATTAGGAAACGGGTACTAGGTAAGAATGGCAGATCAATCGATGAAGTGGTGAAACTTCATCAGTTGAGGTGGTTGGGACACGTGTTGCGTATGCCTAACCACCGACTGCCTCGTCGAGCTTTGTTTTGTAGTGTAGGAATAGGTTGGAAGAAAGCTAGGGGCGGCCAGACCAAAACATGGCATAAATCCATGAAGTCATTGACAAGTGGACTTAGCCATGTCGGTAATTGTCGACTACCTGGCTGGGGTCCGCGAGATGATAATAATCGATGGCTAGAGACCTTGAATGACATGGCTCAAAATCGTTCGCAATGGCGCAGGTGCATTTATTCTTTGTGTTCTCTCAAATCCTAATCTTCTGGATTCTTCAACACCTCTAGTTTTTACTTTCTAAACTTATCTCATTGAATCATACTTCGTGAATAATATCTTCTAATTCTAACCTCTCCGATTACTTCTAATACCTTTACTACCTCTTCTACTATTGGATTTGAATTGACAATTATATCTCTGTGCTGATGTGGTATGGCGACATGAACTGATGTACTTACGTACGAAGTTCTACGTTGCAACTGACTGACTGACTGTTGCCCAGGGTAGCCAGAAGACTATATTTTGTCAGCATCTTCACGGAATTGACAATGTCATCAGCATACTCTAAGTCAGAAAGCGTGTCTTCACTCCTCAAAAGTCAGACGATGATACAGTTAACTCTTAAAGCATGTCTACGAAGAAGTTAAGCAAGAATGGAGAGAGTGGACAGCCCTGACGGACACCACTTGAAGTAAAGGATTCCGATGACAGTTTGCCATAAGCTCTAACTCGACTAGTAGTGTTCGAGTAAAGATCCACAGTCAAATGCCGCCGTAAGGTTCAGGAAAACAACTATTTTCAGACGCCTAAATGTGTGTGTTCTAGGACCTAACGTAGCGTGAAAATGTGGTTTATACAACCACGTCCAGGTCTGAAATCAACCTGGTTTTCTCGAGTCTGCTTTTCACGAGTTCCTAGATTCAACCTAAGATCCCAGTCAATCTAACCATTGAAACTTGACCACTATATTTAAAAATCTCAAGGGTAAGCCTGTCAGGACCCGTTGCTCTTCCTCACTTCAGATTTCCTATAGCTTTCTCAACTTCATGAAGAGTCGGAGGACTTACATCGACTTGCCATTCAGGATGACTGGAGATCGTGGGCAACGGAAGTGTGGCTGAAGGCCAGTCGAACTGATTCCTAAAGTGTTCTGCCCATCGATCTGATCTCCAGGATAGGAGATGAATGATACAACCATCCTTTTCTGAGATACTTTCGCTAACAGATGGATTTCTGAGACCGGTTTCTTTGATAAGGCGGAACAGTTGTCTACTGTTGCCTATCGCTGCAGGTTTTTCCATCTCTCTCACTTTCGCTGCCCAATACTGTTCGCAATCATTGCGTAGAATTCTTATCAGTCTTCGCTTAAGCAGAATTCACTCTTCGTCATGTTCAGAGCCAGGCGGAATGAGTTTTCTAGAATCTATCAGTTCGGCAGATGCTACTGAGATCCAAAGCTTATCCCTAAGATTATGGTTTACCTTACTAGCAGATATCACTTGCTATTTCCGTATCCTTGGTGTGGGTATCACTTACATGGCCGCCTAACTGTTTTTCTAACCGCAGCAGACGATCGCCATTATCTATCCTCTGAGGCGCGACACCATAAGATCCACCAAGGTGTCTTTCCTTTTCACTTAGTCTACCTACGTGAGCATTAAAGTCATTATTATTACCATTATTACTATATCAGAGTGCCTAACTTTTTGGAGGAGGTCCGAAAGCTTTCCTGTACAACACATCTTTCACATCGTCTGAACTGCAGTCAGTGGGAGCGTAGGCAGATACGACGAAGAGGCAGCGGTGAGTGTCCCTATCTTTTCGAGTCCTTACTATCCTGTTTAGTCAGACAGTGCACAAGCCAATATCTACTGGGATCCTGTTGCCGTATTTGATACAAGGTTCGAACATTAAAATCTCCAATATGTAGTTTAGAACGGGGTTACAGGCGACCAGGAATAACGTTTCGTGAACTCGAATATTAGCGGTGCGGGGTGATATAGAAATGCGAGAGGGATTATTCGTGGATATAAGAGAGATGTTAGGGTGTGTAGAAAGGATTTGATTGTGACTGATTTGGTTTCGCGTGCTATTACGAGTATGGGGATGTTTGTCACTTTCCGGGCTGCCCACAGCATGGAAGTATGTTTCTTGAGAAACCTGTAAAAAGAACCAGATTAGCGTTGGTCTGGGCAACCTGTGAGCGTGACGTCAGAGCCCAGGGAACAACTGCTTGAAGCCGGTCTCGCACAGCCTTTCTATAGGAGGTTTGTAAAGTGTTAAGTTCGCTCTCTTTAAAATGACTTGCCGCCGGAGACAGAAATCCGTGGGGTGGGTTGAGGTGTGACACTTTTAGGGTCGACGTTTTCTAACCCATTCCTTCTTTGTGAGAAGGCAGCATCGCCGCATATGTTGGTTGTCCGAGGGGAACACCTTACTGCTATCACACCTCTCTACAGTCAGCAGTACGACTTCGCCTTCAGACCTTGAGTAGCTGCTTTTAGTCTCACCATTCTACAATCGACCTACCTGGCCTGGGGGAATATACAAGAATATATGTTCCAGCCAATATTGCTCGACTGGGCCATCATGATAAGCAAGCCCGACCACCACGTCAGGGTAGTTGCTACGGTCAGGAACTAGGCGATAGGACTCCACCGCAGCTAAAGAACTACATGAAAAGTTTAATCGGAGACAGGAAGTTAGACGGCAGTTTATTTTATCAGTTGTTGCTCCGGAAACTTTACCCAGAATGTTCAACTGATCCTTGTCGTTGGCAATGACGATGTGAACATAGATCAAACTGCAGAAATAGCCGAAAGAATTTATTAAAGAACGAAAATGCCGAGTCTACAGATGCGTCACGCCACAGAAAATAATGAAACCAATGAGTTGAAAAAAAGATATTATATTTTATCCCAAAAGCTGACCAGGCTGAATCAGAGCGAAAGACAGAAAAGACGGTCACGAAGTAGGTCGCGCAAAAGAGATCGACCACACTCTAGGAGACGCTCAGGTCCTACGATTCGCTGGTATTACCAGACATATGGCAACACTGCTATCAATATTTAAATTATTACAACACGGAAATGATCCGGGCGATTGTCGGTAACGGCTGTGACAGCTGGCATGGCTTTTCAACACAGTCATCTATTTTATGTCCAGGATCGCATCACGATCTGGAGAGAACTGTTAGCGATTTGCTTGGCAATATAGCATTCCCGACATATGATAGAGCGTACCATACACTCAATGTATACAGACCATAAACCTCCCACGAAAGCAATAAATGCCAAGCAAGATAACCATAAATTAAAAAAAACACCTGATAAACTGATCCAAAACCAACTGACCTGCAGCAACAGGAACCCCTATAAGATTGTATAGAGTAGCAGCAATAAAATTGCATCGTATCCGACGCACAGTTTTCTTCGACAAATCAATAGCGCCGACTACATCAATCAATGAATTTCGAATAAGTACTACATCGGCAGCTTCTACGGCAACATCTGCACCACGCCCAATAGCTATACCAACATCAGCTTGAGCTAGTGCAGGACTATCGTTAACACCATCACCAACCATCGCAACATATTGACGTCGGGCTTTTGAAAGTGATACACGTAAGTTATTTTTCCGATATATCTCACGACGTTCTACTTGACGTCGACGAAATGAAGTAGCATGATGCTTACTTCCAAGATTCAATGACTTTACAAAAGAAGAATAATAATGTTGACTAGATGAACAGCACATTGCACTGATGAACTGTTTGATCAGTTGCTTAAAAGATAAAGTATTTTTTACAAATTTTCCATTAGGTTTCACCTGAGTACTTTTAACGGTATTATGAAATTTATCCTCATATATTCCTTCATTGAATAAATTGTATTCATTTTCTGTATGAGAAGATGAATAAATACATAAGTAAATATCATGAATATCAAAAACGAATTAGTCTTTTACTAGTTATTTTTGTAACAAACACATTTCTAGTAAGTAATTGCTTACCGTTCTACGATTACTACTCAATACTTGGAAAGATAAAAAAAATTGTCCAACCAGAATTATTGATTAGGCTATTTGCTTTTAGTTATCCCAGGATAGAATTCCACCTGAAGCCCCTCTAGGGCTACTTGCCGGATCACACCACACAGAACCAAATCGATTACATCTGCATCAACAAAATTTCAGAAGGGACATGGAGGACGTAAGAACAAAAAGAGGAACTGATATAACTTCAGATCATCACTTGCTGGTCGAGAAAATGATACTGAAACTCAAGAGGCACTGAACAACGAGGCAGACAACATCACAAAGGTTTAATACCGCCTTTCTTCGTGATACTGGTAAACTTAACGGATTCAAGATAATCCTCAGAAACAGGCTCCAGGTCTTTTACGATTTATCTAATGGGGAGGAAACTACTATGGAGAACATTCGGAAAGAGATCAAGGAGGCAATCACTTCAACATGTGAGGAGGTTCTGTGCCACAAGCAGCACCATCACAAGGAATGGATCTCTACTGATACTCTTGATAAAATTCAAGAAAGGACGAACAAAAACGGCAGCAATCATCATCAGCCGAGCAAGAGCAGAGAAAGCCAAGGCACAAGATGAATACACAGAAGTAAATAAACAAGTGAAGTGGAGCATCAGAGCTGACAAACGTAAATATGTGGAAGAACTAGCAATGACGGTGGAATTTTCAGTACAATACAATACTGTATGGGACGGAAACTTGGAAAACTATCAAAGCCATCATCCAGAAGATTCAAGTATTCATTAACAGTTGTCAACGCAAAATAATTCAGATCACTTGGCCAGACACCATCAGCAACAACCTATTGTGGGAGAGAAAAAAACAAATCCCAGCGGAGGAGGAAATCAAGAAGCGCTGGAAGTGGATAAGACACACATTGAGGAAAGCACCTAACTGCGTCACAAGACAACCTCTTACTTGGAACCCTCAAAGTCAAAGGAAAAGAGGCAAAATTTTGACAGAACTGGAAAGGTCGGCCCAAGATAGAGTAGGTTGGAGAATACTGGTCAGCAGAATGTGCTCGATTGGGGGTAACAGGAGTGAGCAAGTAAGTAACCCGGGATTGAGAAAACCACAGACAATTTTATTAATGTTTCTTTGTATTGAGTAGTCTTGCCAAATGAATCATGTATCATGCATTATTTTGTGCTTAGTTATTTGTACTCAGTAGTTCAGATAATAAACCGTTAGTATTTCAAAAAAAAGAACTGAATTCGATTCCCAATGTGAATATCAAAAGTGGAATGCAGATGCATCCAGTTGATGAGTATCTAATCGAACGAAACACATCGTAGACTTTACTGGTCGCCAGAATCCACATATTTTAAATAACATGTTTAAATAGGATATATAGCTCACCGTCTCCCCTAATGTTATTTACACCATCAGTTTTATCTGAAATAAAACCTTCCATTGTTTTCATTTTCCTCCGCTTCTCATTTCTCATCGTGGTCATCGACATTATGGCAGAATTCCTTTTATTTCTTTTAAGAACGGTTGTATAGTTTTGTAATTCTTTTATTTTATCCGCTTTATGACCAGGTAACACTTCAGCATAGACTTCATCGATACCAATTTGTTGTGCAACTGCATTAGCACTACGATAATTATCACCAGTTAACAGAGCTACACGTATACCACGGTGACGTAATGCAGCAACGATTAAATCAGCTTCTGGTTTAATTGGGTCAGAAATTGTCACTAGACCGACTAATATATTATTAATAGCGACAAAAACAACTGTGTGTCCCTGAGACTCATCAGCTGCAACTAATGATTCCAAAGTTGGGATACTACAATAACCAGTAGGTTGATAATTTGATTCACGTCCATCTGGTAAGTATTCGTTAGATAAAATGATAGGCAATATCACATTGTTTTGTTTCAGCCATTCACGATTACCAATAAGTACAGAATGAACACCACCTTTGGTGCAGTCTACGAGAGAAAATAAATCGAATAACAAGAGAGTTGGTCAATATGAATAAGTTGATATTGAATTAAATGTAATTACATATTTGCGAAGAACATTTATGTTTAAAGATGTACAGTGGTCATGATAAAGATATCAATGAAACTGATGAAGTACACTTCATCTCAATAACTAGATAAAGATCTATGTACTACATACTTCGAGGTAAATCTTTTTCTGCGGGAGCTGTTGATACCATTCGGTTACCCGAACCAAGATACAGAGAGAACTTCAAAAACCCCCTATATTACTGCTAATAATCATGTACTCACCAGCGACTGAGTTTTATGGAAAAATTTCATGAGTTCTAGCAGGTGTGATACAGCCATAAACAATTACAATGGATGACAGTCACGCGAGACATTGTGATTTGACTGAAGTTAAAACTATATGAAGTCGGATGCCAACATGATGAACTAAAAGTTTGGGGTTCTTCGTAAGGACTGAAAGTCCTGGGTTCCATTTCAGCTGTGATTATAGAAGTTCACTGTTGATGAATCCCAAAGTACGTCTAAATAATTGTTCAGTGATTTCTGGTTCCCAACGATTGTCTAGACAGTCAGTTTATGAAGTGATTAGTTTAGAAACATTTTATGACTAAATGATTAATTTCAAACAAACATAAACACCAGATATTTTAGCTTATTTTCTATTCGAAGATAGATCATCACAAAGTTCAACTCATGCTATCATTATTATAGTCAATAATAACACAATCATGATTGTTGATTAGGAAGCTGTTATAGTAATTTATCAGTGTTCAGTCGGCAGTTGCTTTCAGTGACGAAGAATAGTATGGTCATAAAGTGACGTTTCATTAGGTAAATTACGTAGAGTATACAGTTGTGCACAAAAACAGTTCATACACGTGTTAACAAATACTTTGTACTAATCTCATTATTATTACCAAAGAAACCTGGAAATATTCGATTAGACAATGCTTCATTTAAGCCTAAACAAAGTATAAATTTGTAAGTAATAAGAGTTTATTAGTAAGTAATACTAGAAGCTTTCAACCAGAATTTCAACCCATTATTGATATGATTAAACATCCAAGGATAAAAAAAAACTACTTGATTATCTAGAATAATTGTAAATAAAAACTACACTGAAAAAGAAATACACAATAAATTCAGAACAACATACCTGCCCATTCAATTTGCTGTGTTTCATTTAGAAAGTATCTTTGTTGTTGCCGTTGTTGTTGTTGTAGTTCAGATATACTGATATCATTGTTTGTACTCTTCTTATGTCTTACATTTTCTTTATCATCGTTTACAACTTGACATGTATTTAATTCATTGACCATAGAATAAAAACTAACCGGATATGTTGTCATAGATTGATTAGACAAAAGACCATTAAACTTTTCAATATTACTTGTTGTATCATTATTATCATTAGTGGTAGTAGTAGTAGTAGTAATAGGAGATGTATTTTTTGTCGGCCACATGCATGATATGTAAGTTAATTTCATTTGTAATGCTGCATCAATATCTAATTCAGTATATTGATTGATAAGACTACTGCTACTACTACTACTATTTCGAACATCTAAAGGTTTCGGTAATTCCGGACCTGGTGGACAATCATATGGTAATAGATCAACATTACATTGAACACCTAATCCAGATGAAGTTTTAATTTGAGAAATCTACATAAACAAAACAAAAAAACAAGATGATATTTATATATGTGCATATATTATGGATAAAAATGTGTTACACATTTAAACTTGAGGCTTTACAGAGCTAATTAATGATCACCGCCATCAACATTTTTGACACAAGAAAGTGCAACAGACAAATAATTTGAAAGGTAAGCGAAAATATTTAAACTTTTCAGTTGTTTAAGTAAAACTAATGCATAAAAACATTTGTGAAATCAATAGTTTTTAATAATTCAGCTTCACAAACGATGCATTAGATAATGAAAAAGGTTACAACATTAGTGTCTGAAGTTCTAAGTGTTGCAATTGTCTAACAAAGTAGGCAACATTATTAATATTAAATAAATGTAATATTAAATTTACAGTCATATTAAATCAGTAGTACGAATTTCTGATCACTTAAATTTATTTAACAAAGCAAAAACAAATGAACACTACCACTGAGATGAAAATGGATTGCTAAATTAAACAAAATAAAGAAGGTTCAGTGAAGAAAAGTTTCTTAACGATGTGTAACTATTAAACGGATATGTTGTGACATCTGAAAGAGAATTTATCAGTTTAGACAGACTGATACAACACAGAACTTTGTACGTACGTACATCAGTTCAGGTTTCCATACCACATTAGCACAGAGACGCAACTGTCAGTTCAAACCCAATAGTGGTAGCGATAGTAGAAGTACTAGCAGTAATGGAGAGGATTGGGGTTCGAAGATATGATTTGAGAAGTATAATTGAGGGAGATAAATTTAGAAAGAGAAAGACAGAGATGATGAGGAATTCAGAAAACTAGAATATGAAAGAAAACAATGAATGAATGCACTTGCCCCATTGCGAACGATTTTGAGCCATGTCGTTCAAGGTCTCTAACCATTGGTGACTTTCGTCTCGCGGACCCCGACCAGGTAGCCTACATCTACCAACATGACTTACTCCACTTGTCAGTGATTTCATGGATTTTTGTCATGTTTTGGTTTGGCCACTCCTAGCTTTCTTCCAACCTACTCCTACACCACAAAACATAGTTCTTCGAAGCAGTCGGTGGTTAGGCATAGGTAACACATGTCCCAACCATCTCAACTGATGAATTTTCAATACTTCATCTATTGATATGCCATCCTTACCGAGTACCCCGTTTTCTAATAACAGCATTGCTTACTCGGTTGCCCCACGATACACGAGTAATGCTTCGAAGACACCTATGATCGAGAACTAGCAACCTACGAATATCTCCTACTCCGACTGGCTATGTTTCGCATCCGTATAGTAGGACGGAGCGAACTACTGCACAGTACACTCGTTCTTTGGTCAGCAAATGGATATCTCGCCTACTCTATAAATGACGTAAATTGGCAAAAGCTAGTCGAGCTTTCTGTATCCGTGCTGAGGTTTCGTCACACAGCAGGCCATCAGTACTGAGATAGGTAAAGCGGTCTACACGTTCGACTACTCCACTCCCTACACTTGAAGTAACTAATTCCGATGACAGTTCGCCGTAAGCTCTCAATGTTAAAACTGGACTATCATCCTTAAAAATCTCAGGGTCAATCTATCAGGACGCGCTGCTCTCCCTCGCTTCAGATTTCCTATAGCTTTTTAGACTTCATAAAGGTTCGGAGGGCTTACGTCGACTTGCCATTCAGGATGACTGGAGATCGTGGGTAACCGAAGTGTGGCTGATCTTTAGCACTGATGAGACTCCCAAGATAAGTGAAGCGGTCTACACGTTCGACTACTTCACTTCCTATCACTGGTTCTGGTGCCGATGCAACCCAGTCTTGAAGCAACATTTTGCATTTCAAAGGTGAGAACCGCATGCCGAACATGCTTGCATTGTTGCTCAGGATAGCTGCGTTTTGGCAGCGTCTTCACCAAATAGAACTATGTCATCGGCATATTCTAAGTCAATAAGCGAGCCTCCTTGTAGAAGTTTTTAGATTATTAGCTCCTCTCTTAAAAGCCCTTAGTGAACACCCTTACCGCTGGAGGCGGAAGTCCATGAAGTAAGGTGAGATGTAACATTTTTAGGGTCGACCTTTTTTTTCATGATGGTCACAATTCAGCCGTAAATACGTCTATGTCCTGTACGAGCTCAGTCGCGGCCTGAGTAGCTCAGTGGTAACGTCTCTCATTGTCAAGATAGGAGAAATGAGTAGAATCTGCCGGGAAGAATATGTTTCCTCAAGATTACAAGTTGACCTTGCTGACGTAAAAAACAAAAACTATGTCAACTCGGGTTTCCTGTCGACTACTTTCAACAGTCAGCTTACAGATTTTACATATCACAAAAATTGCCGACCTAAACGTGCCATGTCGTTGATCCTAGCTGGTAAGGGTTAAGAAAGAAGAGGCTAAATATTTCGACCTGAGCTGTAAACATTAACATAAAAAGAAGATATTCAACGTATAAGGCAAAGAATTACTGTAAACTAAATACATAGTAGTATTATACTTACAATTACCTACCTTTCCAAAATCACTGGATAAGTCATACTTCATTTTATCATCATGAGTACGTGGATAATTTAATTTTTCTTTTGATAGTAATTCACTTGAATTGAACGCTGATGCAAATCGACGAAATGTACGTGCTATAATAAGTACAGCATTTGCAACAGGATGTTGTACTGTTGATTCAGCACTAGCTATAAGATATAAAAATCGACTGGGTGATATGTTTGAACAGATTCTTGGTTTATGTAAAGAGATTGATGATGATAATGATAATGAATATTGTTCAGAGGATTGGTGCTTATTCTATAGAAGAAAACAAATCATACATAAAGAAAATGAATCAGTTTCTATGAAGAATTAGTGTTTTTTTATATTGATCAGAAGAAGATCTGAATTAAACACATGGTTGAATGAATTAATAAAACAGATATAACAAACTACTATAAATGTGCGTTAGATCAAGTTTCTGTATCATATTCACACAACAATATGTAGTCGACGAGTGGGAATATGAAGAAATTTAACTGATTTTGATAGCAATCTTAATGAAAAGCAATAAACAATGAAAATATAATTCGAAAAGAAGATATGGATGAAAAGATGAATGAAATTCGATATCTGGAAGATGCAAAAAGAGTGGACGTGTCTGGGTCAATGAAATCGATCTTAGAGTGACTCATCAACAAGTTCCTGTCTTTATTTAGCCTCAGTATTAATTACTCAGTTGTTTCACGACATGCCAAACAATGTTGTACGGTTGTTTACGATCAAAAAGTAGAGTTATTATTTTAAGCTTGCAGTTTTCAACCGAATGGTTTATCTGAAAACGAACTACATTCACTGTAGCAGGGGTGGTCTCAAAGCAATCTGAAATGAAGATTCTTACTTGATAAAACACTCATTCTAATTATGTAAGTGATTAGTGATATTCTATTATAATTGTAGGCATTGAGTTTTACATCAATATATGCGGTTCAAACTTTTTAACTGAAAGCTCATTTACATTTCATACATAAAACTGAGTATAAATTTTTCAAATAGATAAAATTAAGCAGCATACAGTCAATAATTTAATGAATGGAAATAGTCAATCCAGCTACCCTTCGGTAGCACTATAAAGCTGATTCTTAGGTAAAATATATTTGAGTATTCAATTCTCAACATTATTGGCGTGATGTACTAATCAATTGTCATATAAACGATTTAAACCATTCTTTACATGTAGCAAAGATACAAACAAACAAATAATAAATGTGACTAACAATCTCATGCCAATTAGTTCTGAAAAATATTGATTAACTAGGCTTCACTATTTTTATGCACAGTAGACTTTTAAATGGTTTTATGGAACAATTATTTTTGTAGATAGATTTCATATATAACACAAACTAAATGTAGTTAGTGTACATTGAAAGACAAGACAAGAACACTAAATATTGCGAATATACATTCAGTGTCT